CACACACACACACCCTTTGCCCCAACCCTCCAGTGGTGTGCTTCACTTTATGTGTGTGTGTGTGTGTGTGCATGTGAGTGAGTGTTCAGCGTTTTCCCCTCCTGAGCAGACAGCTGCTACCTCCCTCCCATCCTCCCACTTTTTTCTCTCTCCTTGGTCCTCTTACCGTTCTAACCTGTCTGTCCATTTGAAGGTAACAAGACTCTGCACTTTGCAGCTCTCACTCTCCCTGTCTTTCCCTCTGTCTCTCGTCCTGTTTTTCTTATGAGTCTCAATAATGTAATGCTGCAGCTGTCCGATGGCCAAGCCTCTAACCCTTGTTTTTGCTTCCCTTCATTGTTAAAGAGGCTGGTGGATTTTTGGCCACAGATCAGGGCTCCGAGCCCTTCGTGCTGCATGGGTGGAAGGGAGAGAGACAGGGGAGGAGGGAGGGAAGCGCAGAGAGAAAAAGAGAGAGAGCTCGGAATGAGTGCCATGGAGAGTTGAAAAGCCTAGTTGCTTCCCCACTCCACTGGTTACCAAGGGATCGACGGGGTGCTAAAAGCACTCAGGGGAGGAAGAAATGGAGGGTTTTTAGTGAGGGAGAAAGGAGAGATTCAGAATGATGGAGAGACAAAGAAAAAGAGAAGAGAGGGAGAGTGGAGGGGCAGGGAAAATGGATGTATATTTAGCCTGTGTCTCTCCTCTGCTGTCACTCAGTGCTCGGCTTTGCTACTGACACAAGGACAGACAGTAAGTGGGCTGGCAGTGAATATGAAGGGAGAAGGCTTCCTCTTCTGCCCCTGGTCACAAGGAGACACTGACCACTGCAATACTGACTCAACACTGGGGAGAGGTCTGCAGCCATCCTTAAGGACTTCACTGCATGAAATGTCAATCTTAACAAGTAATTATTTATCATGTTCAGTCTTAGAAGTGTGTTTGTCTGATTAAAGCACAGAGTCTCAGATAATGAAGAGGCGGTGGCCTTGCTGGTGGGATATCACCGGGTTTGACTCTAATGAACCACAGTGGCCACTTAAGCACTACCTCATGAATCCAGTGTCAAGCGTCAATCATGTATTTCTGTTTACGGTGGAAATCGACTGGCAGTTGAAGCGTGTTGCGCATTCAAATATGAGATTGAAAACATGGCTGCGATAACATGCTCTTATATCAAAACACTAGCACTAACAAGACCAGTAGTGTAAGACAGGTCTGTTACTTCTTTCAGCGACAGTGTGTTTTAAATGTACTAAACATTAGCACAGTTTTCAAAAAAAACATTAGAAATCCTGCCAAAACAGTGAAATGATTCCACTTCATCATCTGAAGTATTCAACTGTTCCACAGATGTCCTTGGAAGGAAGGTCAATATCTCAATTTGGAGGGTGTAAGGCAGATCACTGCACTTAAGAAAACATTTAAAAAGTTCGTAAAACAAGTGAAAATCTTGCCTCCTTTGCAAATTTGTCCACTTTTAACAAAGCAATAATTTAATGAGGCTGATTTTAAGACAATGCTCTGCAATTCTCCCCCTACATTATTCTTCTATTACTCTCATTCACAACTACTTTTCTCTCTTCTCTCCTCCATTGCCAACCTTCTCGGGTTTGCTCACTTTCATGAAATGTCTTTTTTTCCCACCAGGTTCTTCTTTTCTTTGGTGTCATTTTCACAGTTCCTCTCAGTTTTTCACACCATTTGTCTGGAGCACACCTGAATAGAAGTATCACCTTGCTCTGGTGCTGCTCTGATATCTACTTCCATTTTATGGTAATTTTACCTGTCACATTCACACACTCAACCTGCTTACACTGTGCTTTTGGCCTGGTAAAAGTGAAGGAACCCTTCCCGTTGGTGCTCTGATGGCAAAACTCACAGTTACCGTGTCTTTCCTTACCCTTTACTTGTTCTTTATTCCATCATATCATATGTCTCTAGTATTTTTTATCACATTTAAGCAGGAAGATGATAAGAGGGAAATAGAGCTGCAGTCATGCCACAATCACTTGCCACCTACAGGAGCAAACTAACAGACAGGAGATTGTTGCTGAGAGCTACTGTTACTGAAGTTAATTACATGTCACTTTCTGTGATGATACACTGTGAATCAGCTTGCCTCTCAGATGGTGTCTAATGAGACAAAGGCGCTGAGCAGCATAGCTGAGAATGAAAATGGCCTTTTTAAAGTCAACATGTTCCTATGGCTTTCATACCTCCTTTTCTGCCAATCTCATTTTATATCTTATACTTATATGGTCTTATATCTATTCTTGTCCAACTTAACCAGCACTCTCCACTCTGTCTTTATTTATAGATTCCCACAGGTGGCCAGATACATTGTGCACAGTATATATATATATATAT